ATAAATTTAAAAAAAACCAACAAAACCCAACAACAAAGTTACATTACATGTTAATGGATATATGCATTTTGCACTAGATATAAATAAAGCTTGACAAGTGTTACAAGTATCAATTGATACTTTCATTGAGGAATCAGGTTAGAATGAAAATACCCTGAACCAGAAATCTGCTTCTAAAAGACGAATGATGAATCCTCATTGAAGACAATAGATTAAATTCACATACGTAGGCATTAATGACTCACCCCAAAGGGCTATTTTAAAAAAAGGAAATATTGAACAATAAGCAGCAATTCTTTGCAACAGGACTGGAGAAGTGACCGTTCTTACCATAGAGTTAGTGACTGAGAATAGATAGGACTTGTATAGGCTGCTTTCCTTGATTTCTTTATAACATCTGATTTTGCGACTATTTCAGTTCCGGAAACAATAATCAAAAGACCAGAATATCCTTTTGTGTGCTGTGTCTGGTGCTATGAGATACAAAAAAATGGTATAAAGCAGCAAAACTAAGCCTCAATACTAAAGGGTTTCTCCTGTGGAGATATCTGTCAGGGATTCTAGCAGAATGGAAACTAGTATTTCTAGTCTTCTGGTTAACGCAATACTTCAAAATTCCAGCTGTTCATTAACAATTAATTCATTATCAATAATTGAATAATTACTGAAGTAGGTTTATGATTAAAAATCTCTTGACTCTTAATTTAAAAAAAGGAGACATCTTGATTACATCAGAAATAAAATTAAAATAATGGAGCCTTCATATTTGAGCTAAGTAGGAAAGCACTTCAGTAATGGTTCTGCTTCTCTTCTGTAGAGTTTTCCATCTGAACATCCTAAGCTGCTTTTCTAATCTAGTGTAAGTGCAACCAATAGATGTTTTTCTATATTACAGAACCCTGAGATTTAGAGACTTCTCATTCCTTTGTTAGGGTGACAGCTTCATCTTCCTGCAATGCATCCTAGCAAATTTTTATTCTTGGTCTGTTGTCTGGCCAGTGAACCCATTACTGTCTTTAAAATGTACCCGTATTTCTGAGTAAATGAAAGGATTTTACAAGGAGAAATGAGCTTTAAACCAAACAATTGCAGCTGATATTAAAAATGAAAAGTGTGCTCAGTTCAAATGTAGATATTGTTGGTTGGCTGGTCGGTTTTTATTTTATTAAAAACAATTTATTTGAGACATATCTAGAATTCCGTGCTTAGTCATGGAGTTTCAACCACTAAGACATGCCTAGAACAAAAAGTCTTCATGACTGTTTTTAGGAGAAAAACTCATAAAGCTATCAAACTAATGTGCACTGACTTTAAAGCTAAACAACAACGAAATACTGGATGAGGCACATGGTAATTTTGGCTTCATAAAACTAGGTAACATAATTTCCATGTCTTTTGGTGAACAAAGTGGTTATTTCCATGTTTTTTATGAATAATGAAATATGCAATACATGCAGTCTGTAAAAAATGTAAAATAGCCAGGCCTTTCATTTGTGTGATATGAGAAAATGAAATGCTAAAAATCATTCTGGAAGAATAAAAGAAGTATAAAACTTTTAAATGATTCAAATTCAGAAAAATGAAATTAATTTGTTTTGGCTCTTGTAACAACAAGAAGAAAGAATCCTGCAACAATGTCAGTAATTTCTGCTGTAAATGGTAGATAGCTAGTAACTTAAGGTTTAATCCATCGCTTGGAAATAGTGTTAGATGAATGTTATGGAGGAGGACAAAAATGGGTAGTGTATCTTGGGGAGGAAAACAATACAACAGAAATACTGAAATAATTGAGATGATTTGATATTGACATGATAATCTGATATTTGTAGGACTAATAGACAGTTAAGAAGAGTGTAATTGAGGACAGTAATCGAATTATAGACTCCTTCCTTTCCTCTGATTTCCTATCCTTTCTACTGCTTTACTGGAGTGCTGTCTTGAGTCATTCATTTCATAGTGGGGTGAATGTACCTCTATGAAGTTACAATTGCTTTATACTTGAGTAAGAAGAGGAGGAAGTAAAAGGCAATCAGTGTATGATCAGTATACAATGTGCTTTTAGTGTTGATCTGTAATAATTAAGCTGTGGTATCTATATCAAGACATAGTAAATGTATTACTGTGAATCATCTAAAAATGTTAATACATGATCAGTATTAAACATTTTTCTTCAGAAAAAATAGGACAACTAGAAACATTATTGAAACAAAAAATGAATTCCTGAAGAATGGTGTTTTGTCATGGAACTAACGCTTTGGCAAATCTGCTGGCTGCTGTAGATCTGGTTACAGCTATATACATTTCAAACTCCTCTCTCTGGGAGACTGTTATCATCTTTTAGCTTTTTAAACTTGATGTTTTCCTCTGTGTTTCCTCTCTGTACTTTAAGAACCTGTGTATTTACAAAAATTATGTATCAGATAGCAGCAGAATACATTCAAAGGAGGGTGCTGAAATCTCACAGTCATTGTTCTTAACCATCTGAATTTCACATACACAATACCAGCTGTATTGTAGCATCTGATCTCAATGAAAGACTGAAGGAAAATTTGGTTTATTTAGCTTATCAAAGAGAAAGCTAAGCAGTAACTGGATCACAGTCTATAATTACCGACACAAGGAAAAGTTATCTGATACTGGAAGACTCTCTAATCTCACAGACAAAGGTGTCACGAGATCTAGCGGCTAGAAGCTGAAGTCAACAGAGTTCAAAGTCAAAAAATACGGTGCAGATTTTTAACCATTGCAAGAATTTAGCATATGAGGTAATAATTCCACTGCTGGCCTGTGGCTGAATGGAGGAAACATATAGTCTCGCGTGTTTCTGGGGGACCTCCAAAGAAATCAAGCCCCTTCCCTTCTTCAAGGCTGTGTTTAGATAGTGTGGAGAGCTGAGGTGAATGAAACTGTGCCATCAGCCAAAGTGTTGCTCTAGGTTTTGTCTGTAACTTCATAGAATCATAGAATGTTTTGGGGTGGAAAGGACTTTTAAGGGTCACCTAGTCCAACCCCCTTGCAATGAGCAGGGACATCTTCAACTTGATCAGGTTGCTCAGAGCCCCGTCCAGCCTGATCCTGAATATTTCCAGGGATGGGGCATCTACCACCTCTCTGGGCAACCTGTGCCAGTGTTTCATTGTGAAAAATTTCTTTCTTACATCTAGTCTAAATCTACCTTCCTTTAGTTTAAAACCATTGCCCCTTGTCCTGTCGCAACAGGCCTTGCTAAAAAGGCTGTCCCAGTCTTTCTTGTCGGCCCCTTTGGGTACTGGAAGGCTGCTCTGAGGTCTCCCCAGAGCCTTCTCTTCTCCAGGCTGAACAACCCCAACTTTCTCAGCCTTTCCTCGTAGGAGAGGTGCTCCAGCCATCAGGTCTTCTTCTCATGTAGACAGTATGGGTGGCTCGGTGTGTTCCTCTGTCCAGTTTCCATCAAGGACAGAACTAACTTTGGAACACTTTTCAGTGTGCTGAAGCACATCCGTATTGTTGCCATTGTTACCGTCACCTCTGAAATAGATTCATCATGGTTATGAGAAAAAAGTTATGCAGAACAAATTAGCAAAAGTCCATGGAGCTCTTTTAACACCAGGTGTACAAACTGAAATTAGCTTTTTCATATATGAAGACATGTTACTAACTTGAAGCTACATCAGTGAAAAAACTAAAGGAATACAATTTCCATTACCTCAAGCATGAAGGATCGTTGACAGCAGTAACATATGGTCTCCGTAACGTTTCCCTATTCAGAAGTTGGGGGAGGTCATGATTACAGAAAGCAAAGACCTCAACTGAGTGAGTAAAGCGCTGCAAGCTGGTATACCAACAGTTTCTGTGTACCTAACGGAGAACAGAGAAATTCAGTCCCTCCAGTCTGAAACCTTCTTTTTGCATTTCCCTTTATGAAGGTGTTCCTTGCATTTCTTTGTTTCATTGGGGCTGCAACTCTCTTAGGGCAAGCCACAGTCTACAGAGCCTGGGAAATGCAGTTGGATGTAATGAGGGGATGGTCCCCATCCCAAACGACTGACTTCTCATAGGATGAAGTGTCAGGGTCTTAGCTATGGGCAGAGCCCACCTGAGCAGAGGTGGAGGGCTGAAGGCAGCATTCCAGCTGATGAAAAGGATTGGAGAAAGATTGTTCTACAATGCGTGATACTGCTAGCATGATAATTCATGGAGGAGATAAGTTAATAAAACTGATACCTAATTAAATTGTGTCTTTTTTGTCTGTTTTCCTGAACATCCAGCACAGTGAAAGAAGAGGATTTAGGTATTTATATCTAGTCTTAGACCAATACCTTCAGTTGAGAAACTGACAAATTGGAAAAGCAATGCTTATTTTATTTTAAAATATTTTCACATTAATTTTAAAGTGCAACAATACAAATTGTTAAATTTTATTCATGGTTTGGGATATTAGATGTACTTAACTTTAGAAACATTATTGTGTTGACATACTGTTCTAGCTAATTTCTGTATTTATTAATGGAATGGAGGTAGTTCTAATTTATGACCCTGAAGTGGATGTGAATAGCAAGTTATATTATTTTGGCTGTATTTTGCGCAAGATAGCCTCGGAAGTAAATCTGTTATCTGATACATAACTGACAAATGTGTCATGCACACTGTTGGAAGAAAATACAGCTAAGCATAATTGCAACTGTGTCCATTACCCTGTGCTTGCTTGTAGAGTTTGGGGTTTTTTTGAGGAAAATAAATTGATGTGACTCATGAGAAATAGATCTTAGGAGTATCAGGTTACCATACTTACTGATATTCTTCTAACAGCTGTACTTCATTGCATTTTTTAAAAACATTTACGTTTGTGTTTTAACTCAGATTTTTTTTTAAGTGTTAAAGGGATATGATTAACTTAACTGTACTTTATTGGTGGGTAAAATTTACTACATTCTTATATAATGAAAAACTCCTGCTAATAACTGTCACCTTGACTTTCTTTAAAGGTCCTTGCCTATACAGAAGGCCTTCATGGAAAATGGATGTTCAGTGAGATTCGGGCTGTTTTTTCAAGACGTTATCTTCTCCAGAACACAGCTTTGGAAGTGTTTATGGCAAACAGAAGTATGTATTTGTTTATTTTGTTGCATAAAAATGTGCTAGTGGTTATTTTGTGTGTTATTTATTAATCTTAGAATTTAAACTCTGTGCTTCCTTTGATAAAGTGCTTATGTCTGTGTTCAGTAATGCATACTCTTCCGTCTATTCATTACATTTCATATTAAAATCAATCATATAAATCAATCTCACTGTTTTCTGTGCAGCAGTGAGATTGATTTATAGCAACAGATCATTGTGATTGGTAAAGTCTTCAAATGTTTGATAGGAAATTTGCTTTTTCTGTGATTTCACCCCTCTTCTCCATTTTCTGTAGATATTTCCTTTTCTAATTATAAGCTGAGTTAAAATACAAAGGACCAGATCAATAAATGGATCCACTCAGTTTTCTGTATGTGCTACTCTGAATCAGAGTTGAGTGGTTGGTGAGGTGTGTCAGTAGTCTTTTGCCCTGAAAAGATCTGATATAAGTTTTGATTTCAGCTGAAGAGGGAATTAAACAATTTCTGGTCCTGTGTGTTTTAATGCACGAGTTAGAACACCAAATGCCATGCCAACTACTGAACAGCATCCCAGCCTGATAAAAGGTTATATGGGTTAATGGTAAGCTCTGGTTCCTCTGAAGTACACCTCACTCAAGTCTTCTGCAAAATGGGAGAGTTGGTGCCAAAACGTTAACCAGCAAATGATACATAGATATGAAGCATACTAGGAGTTTCTCTTCTGACTTGGATCCCCAGGAGGGTGAAAGTGGAACTGACTTCTCTTCCCAAATAAAAACTAAAGAGCATTTAAAAAATATATGGACATGGAGAAACAGACTTCTGCAGATGGTTTACTAGTCTGTATTTTCTCTTCTTCATTTAGCTTCTGTTATGTTTAATTTTCCTGACCAAGCAACAGTGAAAAAAGTTGTGTACAGCTTACCACGTGTTGGAGTAGGAACCAGCTATGGTTTGCCACAAGCCAGGTAATTTAATTAAAATAGTTTGTATATTTCGTGTTTATTATATTATACAAATTATATTTTTAAACACGTCAATACTAAAACATTTATTCCTGTCATGAAATTCTCTAAATTTTCTCTTTCTTAAGGTTAGTTTGAGAAACAATACCCTTTACTTACTATGTGGCCTGTTATTATGGAATAGAAGTAAAAGTATTGTAAATTAGATTTTTTTTTTTTTTTTTTTAATTACAGAAAATAAGTACCTTCCAGTGAAGGACCAGAAAAAAATTTATACCTTATCTCTTCAAAGTCTGGTTTTCAGTCAGGTTTTATAAAAATATAGACAAACATTCATCCTTGCTGTGATTGTTATGCAGGACATGGAATTAAACGACTGCATTTTGTGTTTGCTGATTGAAAATGATTTTTTTATATATATCTTCTCACTCACCTTTTACATGAATGTGTGTGGGTTTTACTTCATTGCTTATCAGTATAGTGACTATTTTGTAATTTCCAAATTTCTTCCATTCACTAGTATAATGCATTATTCTTCTGTTTCCAAAATTAAGGAGGATATATATTTTGGAAAAGACTAACTAAGGTTCAGTTTTAGAGTTTTTCACATACTATGGACAAGTACAGTTTTTATTATCTCATCAACACCAATATCAAATAAACCTATGGTCAGAAATAAGGCTGGGAATTGTCAGATTCTGTACTATAGAAGTATTTATATTTCAGTGATGGGTAAGATGATCTTCAAGTGTACTTCACTGAGTTGAGGGGAAAAATTTCCTACCTCCATTATTATTTCTTTCTGTTTAGAATTGTCTATTCAGACCTAAAATTGGTTTTGAGGGTGTATCAGCAGAAGTTTGGTGAAAAATGCTTGGGTTCAGGATTAATTTCTGGTCAAATTGAAAGAAGAATAAATAAATGTAAGGGAGTGAGAAAACAGCATGAAATTCACAAAATATGGTGCTTTGGGTTCAGATCTCCATTTGGCTTGACTTGGCCAAAAGCCAATGACTTAATCATCAGTGCAACGTTTGGGATGTGTCTTTCTCTTTCTTTAAGTCGTTTCCTACAACCCAAAACTTCATATTGTCCTTGTTTTATCCCAGTGCAGAATGTGGAAATACTCTGAAGTGTCAAAGCATTTGTAGGATTGGAGAACTATTTCATTCCCAGCTCAACATCATTCCCTGTCATGAGCTCAAGAATCTCATGATGCCTAAGGCTTGATCTCCTGAATGTGCTGAAGTTCTTAAGGCAAACTGCCAAATTTCTCAAGTTTTCACTGAGATCAAGGGAAAGTTGGGGCATTTCTTTGGAAGGTGCATCTTGTTAATATTTGCATTACTCTTCCGAATACTCAAATTAAAGGAATTGCTGTCTCTAAATGGAAAGTAATATTATTCTTTTCTGAAATAAAAATGGCCACATGTTCTAGTACAAACAAAATGCAAATTTCTCAATCAGAATTTCATATCTACAGTGACATTTTTTACTTTTGAAATTCATATCCTTTGTGCATTATTCAGTGAATAATTGTCTGAAAAAGTTTGTTGCTCTATAATTATTTAGAAAACTTTCAGCTTCAATATTATATGCAGTTATTTCCGTACCTTTTTGATTAAAGTTCAATTTGAATCGAAAATGAGCTTGCTAGCCTTCAGAATAAATCTGGCATATGGTAGTGAAGTTGTTTTTCTTTCTTGTTTTTGTGTAATCATGGTATGATTTATGCACAATGAAGACCCTGTATTCATGGTTTTTCCTTTTTTTCTGTCTACATACCCTTATTGTCTTCAGTAAGATGGCAGTGGAGTAGCTGAGGGAAAATCTAGTTCTATAACTGCTCTGTAGTTAATATTTGTTGATATTAGAACATAGTTTTCCTTCCTATGAATATACTTGCTCTGGAATTTTTAAAAATATACTTATTTGTATAACTGACATAAGAAGAAATTATGCTGAGTAACCAAAATGAGCTGCTATACCGAGTAAAACGTGTTTAAAAAAAGGGTAACAAATTTTCCAGATTAAACTGTACTTTAAAATATTTTAACAAAAGCAGATCATTCTGGTTGTTTTGCTTAAGTTCTTTAGTTTTATTTTTGTAACATTTCCTCTCTGATACTACTCTGATAAACATTTTATCTCAAGTTAATCACATTATCATAAAGAATTGTGTTCATGGTGGAAACATCCTGAAGGAGTAAATTGCTTTTAATGCAGTACATGGACTTTAAGTGCATTTCTGTTTTCATGGAGAAATCCTGCGATTAACAAAGATGGAAGGAAATAGAAGGAAAAAGCAATATTTATGGTCTTCTAATGGAACAAATGATTAGAAGCAGGCGAACTGGTATCTCTTCCCAAGACTGTTACAGACCTGCCATTCTGAGCAAGTCTCCAGTTTGCCTCTCTGCTACCTTTCCCAACAGCCTGTTTAATGCTTTGATTCAACAAAGCATTCCAGCCTGTCCTTAATGTTACAAAGAAGTAATTACATCCTTAAAATTAGTCACATGTTGAAGGGTTTGGTCTGATTTGGTAATCAAATTCATCTGTCTTTGATAAATGCATTTTCACTGTTCCTGAAACATGTTGCATTGATTGTAGTTTCCTTTTGACCTTGCCCTATGATACGACCGGGCAGACGGTACTGTGCCTTTTATTTAAATTATTTCTACAGCTCCATGTGATTCTACATAGGTAGAGTAATATCCACATTTTTACAACACAATTAGCAGACCACATTTTAGGGTTCTAACACCTCAGGTGTAAGTTAGTGACGCATTTTTATTGAGGATAACATCACAGCTTAGAAACCAACTGTGAGCTGCCTGACGGTTTCATAAGCGTACAAAGATCAAAGAAATAATAAAAGGTACAGTATCGTACTTCACCACTAAACATGTGCTAGCACCTTCCACTGAAATTTTGTGGGCTATTAATGCATTAGATAAAACAATAGCTCCAGTTATTAAAGCTAAGAAATACAAATGAAGTTTTTGCTGAAAGAAAACTTGTTGGGCTGGTACATTAACTATATTCAATGTCAGCTCAGCTTTGCCACTTATTCTACATCAGTAGCTCGGTGATGGATTTCCAGATCTCAGTATAGCTGGCTGCAGAGGTTGGATTTTTGGAAGGGAGAGGGGTAGGAAAACTAATATTTGATGTCATCAAAGCATAAAACCCCTTTTAGACCTTTGATTAAAAGCTGACATCGATAAGTCTCTTGTCAGAAGCCAGGCTTTTTTTTTTTTTTTCTGAACAGGAGCAACGCAACACAAAACATCACACAAGTGCTATGTTTTTGACAAGATCCTTAGAGATTCTTTGTATGAGATTGGATTGTAGTTAACGAAATGAAAAGTGATTGTGAAAGGGAGTGGGTCATACTCCACATACAGGATATATAACAACCCTTCCCTCAACAAAATGCCATGAAGTGTTTTCTAAATATATTTAAAGCATATAAAACTTGAAAAATTGGCTCATCCCCTTGTACATCAGAGAGTCTTCTGCAGTTTCCATTTGGAGTACGTATTTCATGGGGCTCTAGAAGCAAAGGAAGCACATGCATTTGTGCATCTTCGTATTGGTGATGGCATATCGAAGGAGAGAAATGGTTTGATCAAAGTTGGGTGGATTTAGCAAAACACAAAACAGTGGGTCTTCCTGTGTTAACTGAAACAAGCAGGTGTGGAACCAATTTATTGTGCATAATTTTTCCCAGTCTCTGCTGAAATAACTGAGAATCTTTCAAACACCTTAGCTATAGAGTAAATAAGGAGGGTTTTTTGTATATTTTGATTTTCTGTAGAGTTTGGTCAAATCAGGCATTCAAATGCAAAGTCCAGCACTTGACAGTTTATAGATTTTTTGAGACTCCCTGGGAGATTGCAGGTAAAGTCCAAAAGCAGCTACTAAGCGGTACTGATGCATAAATGTTGTTTTGTCATGGGAGGAACAGAAAGTCTGTAACAGAAATGCCTTCTAAATTTAATGATCTCTTTACTATTTTTATTTTCAGTATTTATTAATTTGTGTGTAACATTAGTCAAACTTTACTGGGAACAATACATCTTTGAGAGTTGCACTGTAAAAGTAATTCTTATCCTATGAAATACGATAGAAAGTAAGATTACATTCAGATAATTCTTTAGATAAATTGTTTGGAAGAAGCATAATAGAAACAACTTAAAAATTTTTTGTAATGTCTCCTGTGTACTAGTAAAGTGTATTTACCGTTGACATCCTAGAGTCTACTGTAAAATAAGGCTGGCCAAGGTGGCAAGACCTTATATACTGCTATTTTGCATAAATATAGAGATTTTTTAAAAAAAAAAAAAGAAGAAAGAAAGTGTACCTACACTTGCATGGTCATTTTTATATGCCCGGTTTGTATGCCTAAGTGTGTCAGACATCGACAACCTACACACTGACAATTTAGACACAAATTGTGAAAACTGTACACTCCAATCGCATACCAATACTCATCCTTTCTCCAGAAATAGGGTTTAGCGCATATGTAGGAGTATGTACATATATATCTTTAGAAGTAGACAGTCCACATTTTTGTAATCACTGCCCAGTTTGACACCTTGTATATGACCTTATTTTAAGAAAACACTCAGCATTCAGAGCCTAGAAATAGTACACTTAGTGTGTTTAGTGTGCAACTGAAAACTGAAGCATTGGGTGTCCCTATTTACACTTGACAAGCTATATAAATTATATATATATATTCTTTAAATTTATGAATAGGCTACACATTAGGGATCCTCTTTTTTTTTTTTTTTTTAAACAGGTTTAATCATTTTCTCTATTTTGATCCATTTATAAGGTTTAAGTTTCTGTAAAAAAAAAAAAAAAATGCTTCTGAGGAGATTAATTTTTCTCCTTCCAAAGATTTTCCTTGTCGTCTTTTCAGCAAGGACTATTTTCTCTAGAAATGAGTTGTGAACAGTGAGGCTATTTCTGCTTGTTGCGGATTTGTTTCTTTAATGCTTTAGTCTAGACTGAATGTAGTCCCCTATGTTTTACTAATCAGGGACAGTATATAAGATGGGTAATTTAAAACTTGGTGCACGGTGTTTGGTTATTTTGATGTTGTCAAATTAAGTAGAGAAGAGCTGAAGTTTTCTGCTTTCCTTTTCCTTGGCAAAGTAGTTAGGTTCTTTCTCCCTTATCCAGTCATGTAAGTTTTAGAAAATGCATGGAAATTGAGTATCTTAGAAACTTCTACTCTTCCAAATTTGCACGAAATGTTATTCAGAAGTTATTATGGAGAGACAGGCAGACAGACATGTAAGCAGATAACTGAATAAACTTTGTTTCTTTCAGATACCAGGCTATAAATAGAAATCTCAAAGCTTACTGGGATATGGGAAGGGATCATGGGTAGCTTACCATGGAGGAGGTGCACAAATTGTGGTCTACATATCTTCAACCCACATGCTGGAAATATTTGGCACTTTAATCTATCACTCACTCAGCTTAATGAATTTATCTCAATGTATCCTTTTGAAACAGGGAAATCCTTGTCCTGCTGGACAAGCCAGGCACCAGGAGGTCTGCAGTTTCTTTTACTCCCAGTCTTTTAAGCAGCTTCAGAATAAAGCAAACCACAAAATATATTATTCTGAATTATTACAGTGCTGTAGTACTGGTAAAATAAAATGCAGATCTTAATTTTAGTAATTTCTCACGTAAGGGTAATAGTGTCTTCTTGAGTTCATTAAACGAAATAATAAAGCCTCTAAGAGAAGTTGAAATTAATCACACTAATAACGTTGCCCTACATCTTAAGATTTAATGAGGCTCTTAAAAAAATATCATGCTTTAAATGTATCTCCTAGGAGAATCTCTCTGGCCACTCCCCGACAGCTTTATAAATCCTCCAACATGACTCAGCGCTGGCAGAGACGAGAGATATCTAACTTTGAATACTTGATGTTCCTCAACACTATAGCAGGTAAGCCTTCTGACTCTTTAATCCTTCATAATATGTTATTGTTTGTCAAAGTCTTAAGCACCATGACTTGATTTATCCCTCTAGAATTCAGCTGCAGCTTTATGAGAGATTCTGAAACACACACATTAAATTTTATCAGAAAATGCACAACCTATCACCGAGACTTTAGATTCATGTATTGTTGTGAAGGCTGTTCCTTGCTCCCCTTCTGCCATTTCCTCTGCTGACAGCTTTGTCTGAAGCTTTATTAGAGTCAACAAACCATTGCCAGAGAGTGTCTGGAAATAATAATGGGAAAATGTAATTTCGCTACTTCATCATTCTCAGCAACAGCAACTAGACAGCAGAATAACAACAGTATTCTGCCTAGTACAGATGTCACCTGGATTGTGGTATGATTAGATTACAGCATCTTTTCTCGTTTAGTTCTTTGAGCTGAAATATAATATCGGATTAGGTATTTAAAATGAGAAATATCTGCCATAGACATCCATTCATTATTGGCAAAAGAAGAGCTTTTCTGGCAATTGTCATTAATTAAACATTCACAATGGCATTATTCCTTTCATCCTTCCCTTTTCTATATTTTAACTCCCGTGGTAATTTTAAATGTAAAAAGCAGCAGTTTTTTACAACATACACAAAGATTTCCAGGAGGTTGTCTACTATTACGATTCCTGCTTGCAGCACACATGCTGCTTATGAACCTGCCTGCAGAGAGCCTTCCTCAGACATTTCACTCCAGTGAGCTTTAATTTGAAACCCAAATTATATTCCACCAGGCATCGCTTTGTGCTCCAGTGTTACAACTCTCATCTTTACTTGGTCCTGACTTTTATGCTTGAGGTTATCCTCAGGCCAGACATAAGACAAATGTAAGTGTGAAACCCAAAGGCAGCACCCGTTACACTGGCCAGTCTGAGGACAGTCACTGCGTTCTTCCCAGCAGGGCAGCGGCAGAATTCAGGAGCTGTCAAAATCACTTGCTTTGAACCTTTAGGCTTTTGCCTCTGTGGTTATATGGTAGTCATCTTCTGTGCATCCAGTCTTCCAGATGTTAATAAATGTGTCATCAAATTGTCCCAGTGTGATACAGAAGTGCTACCACTGAACAGCTGGAAATCTGAGGGCATGTTTACCTTGTGCAGTGGAGCACAAAGCAGAGTCCCTGAAGCTACCAGAGACCTGTGCTGGGGAAAGTCCATATGGTGCAGTCCAATGTAGGCTTGCCAGCTTGATTCCCGAGCATTATAGCCACAGTCCCGCAGATCTCCGCCGAAGGAAGGAGCCCTGCTGAGCGTTTATTACCTCTGGCGCAGTGCCACAAGAATGCCGCTATCCTGCTTCTGGACACTGGCCTGCCTCCAGCCGCTCCGCGTCTCTCGCACGTCTGCTGCCCTTCCGGTGATGAGGAAATGCAGGCAGAGCCTTGCAGGCTCCATGATCACCTCACCTGAACTTGAAGGGTTTACTGGAGAGCTGGGGAGTGAGCCTAGGTCTCCTCAGTCCTTGTCCAATACATTATCGACAGAACTGTCCTTCACTTGTAATTTCCTTTTTATGTATTCATTTCTTCTGTAAGCAGTGTGTCTAAGTTCTTTAAATGAGAGTAGACAAGAGCTGAGCCAATTTTTGATAAATTACTTTTCATTTTTAATCAGTTTAAGACTCCAAGGTCATTTAGTTTTAGGTACAACACTAAAGCTTCCAAACCTGGAAGACATCCTTATGTCTGAAGTCAATTAGGAATTGCAGTGACACTTACACTAAAGTATCCATCAGTAAACGAGCTTCAGGCTGAAGAGATTCCTTCAGAGTATCTCAGAGGTCTCACAAAAAACATTTCTTGACCTGTTGTTTGATACTAGTACCGCTAAGCAGGCTTTACAAACAAACACCTGGGTGGTTGCATGAGGCAAGTTTCTATTAATGTCATCTAGTGCCATTCACCTGCCTTACAACAGGGTGGCCTGAGATGTGCATTCCAAGTACCTGCTATGCCCAAGATCTGGAGGATTACTGACCCTATTTTTTTGTGTGTGTGTCTATGAGCTTGCATTGTATTTGGAAAAGCTTGCAGCAGCTTGGTCAGTACCTCAGTAGTGTCTTTCTCTGGCTCAAAGCACTTAATTTCTGGCAGATTTTTTGGTGTCAGTCTCTTACTGGTAAATCTCATTTGTTCATGTAATCTCATTGTTGTTAATTGTATAAGCTCACTTGCTCGTTTTCACAGCATAACCTACCATCTTATGAAGTCTTTCAGCAGCACAAGATCAAATTCAAATTTAGGTAAAGACCATATTCTCCAAAAGAGAGGGAGGTAAATTTGAGACTTTAGAAGAAATTCAGCCTCTTTGTCTGTGTCTTGTATTGACTGATTTAGTTTGTAAAGTCATTCTTAATGATGCTTTGAGGTCACATGGATAAACAAATATATGTTTTCTGAAGGAGAGTCAATATGCTGATTTTTAGAAGTTTTGGAAGCAACCAGTATTGGTTAAATAAGTGCATTCTCTTCTGCTAAGATGTGAGCAAGGTGTTGAGTAACATTTGAAGACCTTTTCCTTGTCACAAAGAATATCCTTTACTCTCATTTTTATTTCAAACCCATCTGCATTGCTTGGCTTGTGCTAATAGGTCCTTACCAATCTATGTATTTTCTGTTCTGTTTTTATTTTCCAAGAAAGGTAACAGTTGTCATGTTAGATTGGAAAGAAAGTATCACTGTATGATCTCATAAAACATTTTGGAGGGATGTCTAAAAGCAGCTGAGATTCTTGGGTGCTTTCTCAATCAGCAAGAGTGCTGTCACATCTGATAGTGTTTCAGCAGGATTAGTGAAATAAAGGGTCCTGCTGACATCAGCTATGACTGTTACATGTTAGAATGGCCTTCAATGCAAAGACCTTGTAAGAGAGCATGATTGCATTGCTGTATTATGTGCTTTCTATTTCTGCTTCATTCTTTTGAAGATTTTGAAGATTCATAGTCTTTATGAACATAAATAGATTTCAGTTGCTAATGTCATTATAACATCTGCACTCACTGATGCACTCTTGTAGAAACTCATGATTTTTTTATTTTGGAAATTAGAATAAAATTTACCCTTGGTAACTGAAATCCTTGCCAACAACACACACATACAAAACCTTTTCTAAAAACAACATAAGAGAATTAAAACTGACTGAAACCCCAACAGGCAATTCTACACATGACAATACATTTTTTTTATTCTGGTTTGGAACAAACCTTAAAATTTTCCAACTTTTTGACATTACCAAAAAATCCCCCAAAGTTATTTTTTTGGAAGATCAACCTGTTTTTGTAGTTCTAATGAAGTGTGCACTTCAGCTGGGAAGCTGACTTCCAAAAACTCATGAAGGACTTGGGCGTATTGCAAAGAATCTCATCCTAAAGTTCCTGGCAAGCCAGAAACCCACTCACAATGGAGTTGCACGTGAGCTCCAAATCCAATGACAGCAGAGAAAGCTTCAAAAGCATACGTATATGTTAGAAAGCCTTGAAGTTCTCACATCCCCAAGCTGTTTCCTGGCTCTACCATTGCATGGCACTGTACAGCCAGGGCCTGAAATCTGGGAAACTGCAGGGTCAGGAGCTATGAGGCAGCCTGAATGACACCACTGCTTTAACAGCTGTGCCTATACTTCTGTAAATCTTCTGCTGAAATGTATTTCTCCCAAATATTTCCTTTACAATAAGTAGAGTTTTTTTGATGAAGCGCTAAAAAAATTAATATCTCTACCAGAAATACAATACTGGAAGCAAAATACCTCTACTACATGTTGCCCTTGTTTTGATAACACTGAACTGATAAAGGTCCAGATACATCTGTGTTAAACAGAAGCAAATTCTTGTATGCACTGTAGACAGGACCCTCAGCAGTCAGAAGAAACTACAGCATTATCTATTTTGTACACAAAGATAGAGTATTGAATATATTCGTGGCTTCCTTCACCAAGTAAAGTGAAGACCTGTCTTGTCTTTTCTTTTCTTCTTTGGAAATCCAATGTCCAAATACATTTTTAATTATACTCTTTTGTAACGAGACCCATAAGAAATATTTCCTTAAAAGATACAGCTTTGCGAGTAATTGTTCATGTAGGCGGTGATGGCCTGGTTTTAGACTATACCTGTTTGTTTAAGAAGCATCTTCTTTTCTAACAATATCGTTGTTTTTAACCATTGAGAAATATGTACATCAAAATTTTTTTTACTGGTGTTGCCAGTTAACTCCAGCTGTCTTACTCAGCATATCTGAGCCATAGCTTAGTCACTTCATTGAGAAATATGTACATCAAAATTTTTTTACTGGTGTTGCCAGTTAGCTCCAGCTGTCTTACTCGGCATATCTGAGCCGTAGCTTAGTCACTTAAGAAACATGGAAGTTTGGGACCAAAGAAATGTGGATTATCTGCTGGTGAGTGAGTGATACATAGGTCCTTTCATTGTTTTTCCTTCTCTTCCAAATAAATAGAGGTTCACTAACAAGGTGGTTTAGTGCGCTGGTTGCCAATTCTTTATAGCTTCCTTTCATCCTACAACGTTGCTTAATTAGCGTCTAACCCTTTACAAAGCAGTAAGAAATCACTCCTGTTGATTGTTTTCTTGTGATCCTTTTCTGAAATTATTCAAGAAACAGCAGCCTTCAGAAGTGAGGCTTCTGACACCAACTCATTTCTTTCATTTGTGACACACAACTGGGTCCTTTCCCACAAGAAGTCCTTTGCCTGCTTGTTAATACTGTTAATTACACAGACTGGTTGCTCTCTGTAGAACAGAACTACTGAAATAAAGATACGAATCTCTCCTTAAATCTCTCCCTGGTTTGCCAATATATCTGTCTTGACAAGCATGGCCCCTGGCTATTCTATAAGTTCTTAATCAATGTTTGAAATACTGAAGTGTCCCTTTGGAAAAAACCCATCTTTCTATGACTCTTTTTTTCTTTAATCTTTACATCACCCTGTTATGACCTCTGAACCATTGCCCGGTTTCATTTTTAGTTTAACTGTTTCTGTTGTGATCTGTACTCATGACTTAATAACTGTCTGCTTCAGCTATCATAGTTCTCTCTTTCTAGATCATTTCCTATCCAAGGATATATGATTACCATCACTTGCAATGGTCTGATGACTCATTGCAATTTCAATTCAAAATTGCTCTCCATCCTCAAAATTCTGTAAAATCTCATTTCAACCTGTTTCTCTGGCCCTCTAGCCGACTATTTTCTTGCCTCCTCATTCTGTTCCCAAGGTCTACACCTCTTTCTTGCCCTCTTCTGACTCGAGCATATTTCATCATGTTTACAGCTCTGGGTTTTTCTCCCAAAGGTAAACACTGCACTCTGCTACTTATCAATCAGTCGCAGTGTTATACTCTCCATGCCCCTGGTTTTTGTCCTGGTTGTGTAGACACAAAACTTCCTGGCCACCTTCCCCTTCCTCCTACCTATTGCCTTCTCAGCGATCCTTTAGCTTCCAAGGCTTGGCAGCAGCTATGATTATACTAATTGTCATTTCTTCAGGCGCATTGGAAAAGGCCATATCGCACACGATGTCAACTGAACCCTCTGGGTGGTATAGGGAACGAGTAATTTTTACTATTCTCAGCTGCAAGATTATTGAAAAAAGTACTTAAAAGTAATCCCACTGCAGCAAAAGGAATTAAGAGGAGTGGGAATAACAATTTGTTTTCTAATGTGGTTGCAGTGTCCACTGTTTTAATTAGAAGTCTAGTTTTCAAATCCATTTCTCAGTATTTAACTGATTTCTACTAGTTTTTTTCTTTTCAAATTGCAGTATATTAAATATGTGTTTGCATTTGTACTTATTGGAATTTTAATTCTTTTAAATCCTACCTGCCACAGCTTTTAAAAGAAGTGGAGCGTAATTATATCCATAATTTTTGTAAGTCATTTCTTGTAGTGGAAAGGGATTATTTTTAAAGGTTTGTGGCAAAAAATGACATCTTCAGTCAGGTAATAAATTCAGACAAACTTCTTCCCCCTCCCCCTTTTTTTTAGCCTGTTTAGCATTTTCCACTTTTTTTACTCTGTGATGTACAAGCCCTCACTGGTTAATTATGTATATATTTAGCTACTGCATGTGTTGGGCTTATTATTGTCATCTAATTAGATGTAACTCGAACTACTTGCTTCTAGAAAAATCATTAAAAATTCTTTCCTAATGACCTAGAGATGACAAAATGTCTGTAAAGTGTGAAGAAGCAGACAACCACAGGAACATCGCTCTTAAAGAGTGTTAATCCAGATGCTGCAATCATCTAATTAAACAATATTTTGCTGTCATTAACATTTTCACCAAGGAATTGCCGTTATAATTTCTTTGTCAGCTGTCTCTAGCTCACTCTACCTTCAAAACTAAAGTGCCATATAAAAACATTAAATTGGATCGTTTAATTAAAAAGTTTTTTTTAATGAAGAAACATATCCAGTATTTCTGAGATCTCATTTACTGTGCCTTAGTTTTATTGTTCACGTAGATTAGTGTCACAGGCTTGTGATATTTAATATTCAGCCTTTAATATTAATCTCTGTAAGCCTACTTGGGGGCAAATCTGAAGCTTCTGAAAAGGTATAAGGACTAGCAATAGTGGTACAGGTTTATGTTTAATATTTATTTAGCTAAAGAGAGAACCAAATAATTCTTACTGGAAGCACCAGACAATTTATGAGATGACTAAATATATTCATCTGCTGACTTTATTCTGAAAATGATCATTGTGAAGCCAGAACTGGTCAAGAAAGCATTCCTAATAAAGTTAAACCACTAATATTTATGCATGTTTAGAATTAGGGATTTGTAATCCCGTTATAGGCCTAGATCACTGTCCTCCACTCAGATAAGCATAGATGTGTGGTCTTATCGTGTAGGTTTGGTCTCCTTTCACAATTTAAATTATGGTTCATCTTCTCGAGTAATTTTTATTTGTTGATATTAAAAAGAAAATTGTTGAGCTGAGAAAAATAAATCACTAACTTTTTTACTAAATAAATTAATAGCTACTCTTAATAGGTAATCGGTTCATAAATAAAATGTGTTTTATAAATATTGAGGTAAGAGAGAAGTAAATGTTTTGTTTGTTTTTTCATAAGACTATAGTTATATTTATCAAATACATAATCACAAAGGCTCCATTGTTTGCAATTTATCCTACCTAAGCTGAGAGATAAGCTGCTTCAAATTATTTCTCATTGTGGGGTAAAAACAATGCACACAAGTTTTACTGCAGTGTCCTGACATGGAGCTAATTCCACATGATAATTTGTTCATGTGTCCATACTATCAGTAACCTATCAAAACCACACAGCAAAGGAGAACTCATGTGCAGCAGCTAGTATCAGGATTGTTTTTTTCTTGCGGTATTCACATATTTATGATTTTTCCCATGTGGAACAGAAACAAAAAGTCAAAATCTTGTTGGCTGAATATTGAAATTGAAATGAAATTAATACAAAAATTAAATAAAATTTCAGTATGGAAAATCTCAATTTTGAAATAAAAAAATAATTTTGGATAGCCCTAAATTTCCTTTCAAGGATACTCTCACCTTTCCAAATGTTTCTATAAAGTGTTTTCAATTGAAGGTCTTTATTACTGTGACCTCTTTTCCATAAAACTTTTGATTCTGAAGAATCATCATTTTCACTTATGCTTTGTAATTGACTACAGTCATCTCGGTCGTTCTCTTCTGGAATCTCAAATTTCTTTTAGTTTGTTGTCTACGTAAACACAAAAATCTGTCTTTTGTGGAAACTTTTGCACACTCTTCTGTTAACGTAATTGAGGATTTTGATGGTGAAAAAAACATTTATTGTATAAAGGTATAGTTTTATAAAGGCCGTATTTTACAGTGCCTTAAATTTGACAGTCTCAAGAAACTTTACAAATTGTATATAATTAATCCCTTGCCAAAGAGGAAAACAGTATTCTGATTTGACAGATGTGGAAAATGAGACAGAGCTGTCTTACTTCAAGACATACAGAGCCCCCCTACAAAAAACCTAAAGCAATATTCTTCCAGAGAGTACCTTTCCTTTTCCTCCCTCACATGGATAAATTCCGGTGTATTTCTTGATTTAATTGTTTGATACATTCTCATTCTGTCCAACAGTGGTTTTGCATTCATTCATTGTTGATATTAGGTTTTTTGTTCCTATCCATCTTTATTTGTGTGTGGCATACGGTGCTGGTATTGCTTTTTTAACAAAGTTGTATGTGCACCTCAATTATTTTTTTATGTTCCTGTGAACATCTGTGTGTTCGAAATGTAAAAATGAGGACACACAGTTGCTAACAATATGCACTTTTCCTGTTTTCAGTGAAACTGTGTACAAAATAGAAACATGCTTCATGTTCATCAACTTTTATTGAAAAAATAAGGTGTTTGTAGAGCAGTGAAAGTTTCACGTTTCATTATAGCAGAGCTGATGTTTGTGGAGAATTGCAAATGCTACTCAGAACAAGGAAGCCTGTGTTTTCCTGTGCCGGGTTTTGTACCCCAGGAATCTGTCCAGAATCTGGAAGGAAGCAGTTAGTGAGACAGGGCTGTAAATCTGCCACAGGACTGGGAATTGTTAACCTGGGTTATTTCAGTCTGCTAATTATATTATATAAATACACACACACATATATTTATGAGCTGATTTTGGTTTTTAAGACTCATGTTGCATATTGTGTGGTTCTCAGTAAATCAATATGGTGGATGGTTCTGCACTAAGCAACTTCATTTGTCTTATCAGTGAAATGTTAGACACTACTAAATACCAGCTGACACAGAAATAACAGCCTTTCCAAACGCACTTTTCCTGGTGATGAGTTCATAATTTTCAGTTCACTTTAGCTGCAGACTGTTCTTTCGAAACTCTATCTAAAGATGGCTTTTGCACATTTGAGCTGCTGGGATGATAGCAGTGTATCGTTCATTATGTTTGGAGAGAGTGGCCTGGGGCAGTCTTTTATGGGGGAGAAAATGTTTTATAATTTTCGAAGTAGTTATGAGATAATGTTGAAGCAAACATGACTTCCTCTACTTTGATTCCACTATTGCAGTGAAATCTCACCACTTCTTCAGTGAAGAGCCATGGGGAATAATGGATTAATATGGTCTATCTAGGACAGACCTAGATTTGCAAATCTCAAATTTAGCCCCTTGCTGTTTCGAGTTTTATTTAGTCTTTGCCAGCTAACGATACTGCATACAGTTGCTAGGAAAAGAATTGTCTAGTGATTTGAAATTTCAAAATTCATGCTATGAGAATAGCTTCATGGAATTAAAAAAGAAAGTGTTTTTATTGGCATATAGTATGTTTTGGTTGATCTTGAAAGATACTGTGCTCTTTATATTATGCTGATTTTTGCATTGACTTCTGATTCAGGATAAGTGCATCTAAATGGCTGTTTTTGTCTGGAAGATTTATACCTGATTCTGTCAAGCGGTGGGAACTGGGAACATGGGATGCAACAAAAGTAACTGCTAGATGGTTTTTCAGCTGGGGAAGTGGACTTATTTCCTAATTCTTAAAACATTTTCTTTCTTAATAGGACGAACGTACAATGATCTGAACCAATACCCTGTATTTCCGTGGGTTTTAACAAACTATGAATCTGAAGAGTTAGACCTGACCCTTCCAGGCAACTTCAGAGATCTTTCAAAGGTATGCTTCAATTCTGTTAAAGACAGTCAGCCAGCCCTTTTAAGAAGACCTTTTGGTTTATATCTGTAGTCTGGTTAAGTTAGGTCTTTATCTTAAAGTCAGAAAAATCTGAAATAGACTTTTCTATTTTAGAATCGTTTTGTACTGAATCTCTACATTATGCTACTTCCATGTCCCTGACTTTTCTATTTTAGAAGCATTTTGTACTGAATCTCTTCATTATGCTACTTCCATGTCCCTGACTGATCTCACTGCAAACCTCCCAACTCCTCTGTACCTTCTGACTTACAGATCACGACTGCATCAGACCAGTTGATCTCACTAATTGTCTCCCTTAGTTTATGAAAGCTGATCCTTTGGAAATAAAAAGCTTGGACTAATTTGTCACTTTATTTTGCAGTGATTAGATGAGTAATATAATAGCAGCACCTCCTTTTGGTTTAATAATTATTCAGTAAACAAGTGTTTTGTATTTTAGAGCCTGGAGTATCTGGTCCCTGTCATTATTTGTGGCTTTTGTCCTCCAACTGGACTTGGGCAGTTAGTGCTTTATGATAATACAGTCCCTCGTATTTGTTTCTTTAATAGCACCAGACTGCTATCTATACCCAGCTCTGGTACTCTGACTGTGTCAACAGACTGGAGAGAAGGGGTGTCCTGGCCAAGCATAGCAGAAGCATATGGAGGGCTTCTACTTTTGGCCAGCTGGCATAAAGACAAAAAACAGGTCTTGAAACTGAGTTATGGGAAGTATCTTTCCTAGTTCCTATCAACTAAGAAAGTGTATGTACTTTCTCACCAGTGAAGGTGGGTAGCCTTGCAACATCCCCAGCTTGAGGTTTCTGTTGTCTGGGCATGACAGCTTTCTTGCATCCTTGCCACAGTTCCTCAGCCAGGAGGGAGAAGTTGCTCGTACAAGTTGAATGAGGCTCAAAACTGTAGGAGGCTGTGACTCGCTGACTTAAGGAATGAGGCTGGAGAGGAGAAAATGAACCCCAAGGCCTGTTCTGCAGCCCTGTGCTGCAACCCCTGCTTTCCCTTCTGCTGCTGGCCAGGGATGAGAGTTTCTGGGGCTTCTGCCTTTAGAGCCTGCTTTGCTTTCCTCCTCTTCCCGCAAGCACACATCCCAGGCGGCAACGGAGAGATCCCACCCTGCGTATCTCACAGTCTCATATCCCCATTTTGCAGTACCTCCAGTGGTATTGTGACCGTTCCTGGAAGCGTGCTTTTAGTGAGACTTCCAAAATAATTTGAGTAGGACTTGATGGCATAATAGTAGATAGAGGCACCTAAGTTTCCTCACCCTTTTTTCTTAGATAAATAAATAAATAAATAAAACCAGGAAGTAAACTACATTCACAGCATGTCTCAAATGTAAACAAATTGGTTGAGACTCTACTTACGTTATGTAAAACTTTTGATCTTTCACAATATTATAGGTAAGTTTCACAAACATGTTTTTCAGTTCTGTAACACCGTTGTAATCTGTGCCAGGAACAATAAAAGAAGATCCACAGACATGAGTTAAAGAAAGACCAGTGATCATCTTGCACTGGTTGTTCCCTAGCATATATAAAAATATTTCTGTTTTAGAACTGTTTATAGTGATTAAACCTTTCATTAAGATGCTTACACTTTTCAAAATCGCTCAAACTCACTTCTTTTTAGTATTAATAGCACTACGTGTGGTGAAGTGCAACAAGATTAGGCAATGTCTCATGAGACCTTCATTAGGTACTTAGTTTTGGTTGAATCCAAATTTTTATGGCAGCCTATTAAAGTATGTAATTGCTACAGGAAGTAGTGTGATAGTTGAATAGGTAGGTTTTCCTCATGAGTTAGTAAACACTCATTATGGAATTAGTGCTTGTATAGCTTATTAAGTATCACTGCACTCCTAATAATGCTCTCCCTTGAAAGGAAATGTAAAATCAAGTCCCTGGTTATTTATATTTCTTCAAGAATCTGTGCAATGTGCACAGCAGTATTTTGCCTGAGGACCTTTTCTTACCCAATTTGATAACTTCATTCTCTTATTCAAAAGCTACCAGCGGTTTCCTCTGGCAAAGCTGGGGTTTTGACCGCTAAAAAAACGCCTACATAGAACTAGTTAAGGAGAATGGTCTTTCCTTTCTGGCAGTATCTGGGCTGCATTTATCCCATGGATGTGTGAGAAAACACATGTGCAATCTGTAAAGTGTTGTGAGATCCCTCAGGATAAAAGGGGTGTAATTGTCAAATTTTTCCGGTGTTTCTATATAATAACATCTGATAGGTTTCATTTCACAATGGTTTTAAAAGGAAAAATAGATTAATGATTTTTTGTAAAAGGCAGTGGCCAGTTAATATGAAATGCCTTACTTTGTGCACTTGGGCTGTTATGCATTACTTGCATCCTGTTTCAATTTCTGCATTATCAGTAAAAATCTTCAAAATCAGAACATATCCGAAGTATTTCCTTGGCAATTCTGTTTTCATTTTCCATGTTGTCCTGTATCTGTAAGTAAGCCCCTTCTTTCCTTGTTAGGGAGGTGAATCCTGAGTAGCCTAGTGCTTAAAAGGAGGAGTTAGTGATTTATTGTTCACGTTATTGAACCGGGGTGTGCTGTCAAGGCTCCGGCAGACCTCTGGGGCAGGCACCAGTGTCCTTTCCATGAGGAGCCACTTCCTTCTGTCAGATTTTACCCTGCAACGGAGAAATGTTCCTGCAGGTTTGATGGCAAATCAGAACCTCCAGCTAAGCTGTTGATGGATAAAACCTCCTTTGTCAGTTCCTGACCTTCTGTCTTCCTGCACGTTTGCCCTCCTTACGTTTCACACAGCCTCTGTCCCTAATGTTTAGTAAGTAATACCCCTCAAACAGTCTTTTGAAATTATTTAGAATTCTAAAACTATCACGTATGTGATAAAAGCCCACAAGAGCAATAAAATTAAAAGAGAAACCACCTATCGTGCTTTGTTTTGTTGGTTTAAAATAGTTTTGGTAATTAAAAGTAGATGCTAAAGCTAACTTTAAAAAAAATAATTAACTTGTGTATTATTGCACAAAGTTCATACAAAGCTGCAGTGTCAATTACAATAATTGACAGTACTTCTTTTGAAATATTTTAATCTTTGATTCCCAGGCTTTCTGTATAAAATATGATATACCACCTTTGCGATATCACAACTCCAAAGTGAACATACACAAATGCAATTTATATGTTTTGTGGAAATGAAATTAGATGTGTTTGGTTTGCTTACCATGTCAGTGACAGAGTTAAACATAGGCCTTTTGCATTTAGCTCAAACTTAAATATTTACATTTCTGCAAAGCCATCTTGAACATGTAACTTGTCCTTTCCTTCCATTCCATTTTATTGTGCTTTTTATGTAGTGCTCCTTAGTGTGGTACTTTAACATTCAGATACTGTTTGGCCTCTCAGAACAATTATATTTAAATATTAGTCTGAAAATTCCTGTGCCTTTTTCTTTGAAGTGTTTGGAAATTCCCCTATCAAGACTTTTTTTTTCCTTTTACGTATAATTTGAGATTTAAAACCAGGGCCCATGGGCATGGAAGGTGCTCTAGCAGTAGGATATATTGGGCCTCTCATTTGATTAGACAGCGTAGGCTCAAGTTTTATTCATTACATATACAAGGTTAAAGGTTATATTTATTGTTTGACAGGATGAAAAGCTAATGAAAGAGGCTGTCATAGATACATAGATTATCTTTTCACTATCAAACCACTAGGTGATCTGCTTATTTTCTTCTTTATTGAGATTTCCTTTGGAAGAATACCTATGGTATTAAACATTAGTACAGGAAACGTGTATGCAGCCCTTACTGTACACTGAGTTTTGGGGGGTTTCCACACACTTAAAATGTGATATGGTTTGTTTGTGCAAAATTGTATGACTTTTACTCCTAAATTGTAGTGAATGCGTGGTTTTGACATGCTGCATTGTCCCTGCTCATTAAAGTGTAAATGGGAATTTCTCCTCATTTACTTCCAGTCATACATCCTGTTAAATAAAATGATTTCTTCACCAGGCAAAGTAATACTAATATTGACATGTGTATGAAACATCACACGCCCATTCATTGAGTGGAAAAAATTATATTTTGTTAATATAGAAGGTGTTTGACTGACGGGTGGTGATAAGCATAACCACTTTTCCTTATTACTGTGCCATTTCAAGAAAAGGAAGTGATAAAGCCCCAAGGCTTCTAAATGTAATAATGCAAATGAACGCATCGAAGTGTGAATATTTCAAGGTAAACCACACTTAATACTTCTAAAAATGTGTATGCTGTGGAATGGAGTTTATGGGTTTATCAAGAGCCACTCTCACTGGAAAAATTAAATCAATTTCTGTAGCTTAAACTTCTCTCCTTACCACACACAACTCTACCGTCAGAAGAAAAACTAGTTTGATTCTCATTTGGTTTAAGCCACACAATTAAACATATTTTCTTAAATAAAAAGTTCCTTTACTGAGTGAAACTCTGGTACTTTGAATCAGCCGGAACTCTTATATTTGATAATGTTGATATTGGTATGCTGAAGAAAAGCTGTTTACCAACTTGGATAAAATTAGAATTTATTTTTAAACTTTAAAGTACTATCCTAAGATGTCCTACTTAAAGGTTGTTGTTTGGTGTTTGTTCTTTTTTTTTTTTTTTTTAATAATAAAGCAAGCAGTCAGGAAAAGCTCAGTTTGTATTCTTCCAGAGCCAAATAAAGCCTCACTTAGGATTTCTTTTGTGCCTAGCTACAATTTTGTGCAGTACATTACAAAAATAAAAATAAAAAAAAGATAAATAGATAAGGTAGCTGCTGCATGAAATAGAGTCAAGATAAGCAGAATGTTTCAGTGGCTGGATAAATAGGATGCTACTTTCACTTCTGCTCTCATGAGAGAATGTAGTTCTGTGAAGATAGCTGGCAAAACAGTAAATATTACATGAGCTAACATAACATGTCCAGTGGATATAAACAGTAGATGTATTGACAATATACTGGTTCAAAGGCCAGATGTCTAAAGAGATTAGCCAGATAAAAAAGAATGACATGAATAGCAGTGTGGTTTTAATGTTAAAGTAAATACTTACTTTATTTTTAAATGGAAAAAGAAGCATAAAATAAACTCAAACAGCGGCTTTTAGTACATCAGAAGTGAAGTGGCTGAATAGGCATTGTCATACAGTGAGTTGTTTTGCTTGGAGTAAAGAATATCTTCTAAAACCATTTTATGAAAAGTTAGCATTATTTGATATGAGTCCTTATAGAGGGCTTTTTTTTTTTTTTATGAGAAGACAAATGGTGTGTTTGGAAAAAGCACTTTATAAAACATTATAGAAAGAACTTTTTATTTAATGTTCAGAACAATTTGTTTGGCTCAAGTTCAGTTTCAGCACTAGTCTTATGGTTAAGGTACTGGACTGACATAATACGTGGATTGAGCTTTGCCTTTGTATTGTTTGTGAAAGTAATTTGCACTAGTTTACACAGCAGTAGAATCTCATTGGAATGGAAATAATTATTTTCTTCCATTATGTGAAGATAGAGGGTTTGATCCATAAATAAAATTTATCTCCATTTTATAGCCATGGTATCAAATTAAAACTGTAGTAGTTGAATTTCTGGACTGAGAATGGCCCTGTAACACCATAGCCACCAAAACTCCATATACCCTACACACTCCACAAGAAAAGTGGGGGACTACCATTACTGTAGGACTTGTCATCTAGCAGGACACATGCCTCATCAGAGTAAAACTAGTTGAGTTGCTAGTTTGTACAACTGAGATTTAAAGTCTCTACAGAAAATGCGTGTCTTTACTGAAGGATGAGCTGTTACCTTTTCTTTGGGTAACAGCATTTTGCCATACAGACATTAAAAAACCACTAAGGAAGCCAGTGGCAGACCTCTCTGAATTTACTCCGTGTTATTTTGTTTACGGAACTTTTCGCTTTCAGAGAATTCATGGTCATTTGGTAGACACAAGCTGATCTATTTGTGGTTAATCAACAAGTTTTTAAATTACACAACAAAAAAATGAGAGATTTGAGCACTTTCCATCAGCATTTTCAATGTGTATAGTTTCCTACGTCAGGGGAGGTTTATGTCCTTTCCATTAATGTGCAGAGAAGTGGTTCACATAGGGTTCTTCTTTACTCCACAGAGATGGAGAAATGGGGGATCAGATGTTCCTTGTATTTCTTCACCACAGACCAGAGATAACTGATGTAACACTGAACCAGAAGCTGCAGAGATGTATGAGCATGGGCAGCTCCCAGCTCTCTCTTCCCCGCGCAGCGCTGCATCGAGACAGCTGCACTACTTCTGAGATTCCAGTTGTCATCTCTGCATAAACGGTGCTGTGTTTGCACGCCAGCCCCTCTAGAGCTAGCTCAGGGATTTCTAGCACACCTTTGTCTTGCAAGCTATGGTCATACCTAAACAGTTTACCCAGGAAGACTAGAAATCTTTGTGGAATGACAGAAATGAACCTATATCTCCTGAATCCCAGGCTACCATCCAGATCACTAGTTCATCCAATCCAGGATCTGTTCTGAGAAGTCGAGGTGAGACTTTCTAGCTGAAGACAAACTCTACCTCACCCCCTCGTTTCTTTCTTTCCTTCTCTCTGAGGCAAGGAAGGATAATTTCCAGAAAAGATTCCTCCCAGAGATTTTCACATGAAAATTTCCATACCATGCAAGAAGAGAGATGACTCTCATGATATTTCACTTTAAAGAGTCCATTTTATTCAGCAGATATTTTGTGCATTTCAGCATTTTTCTTCAAATGAATCCTAAAGCAATTGAAAGAAAAATGGATTCTGACTCTGAAAAGAATATTGATGAGGATGAAGGTAATCTTCAGAATACAGCTTCTTAGGTTTACCATTTAATAAATAGAATATGTGTCTTCTGAAAGTAGATTATCTTAGCTACTTGTGCAGGCATTTTTACGTGAAAATGGGAATGCACCATCTTACAACCTTCTATCTTTTATCTTTTAAATGGAAATAACACTTCTCTCTGAAGAACCTAGGAAACATCATGGTGTGTTTGCATTAGTGTTTTATGTGACTTTGGAAAATTATTGTCAAGCTCTTGAGAGAAACTATCGTTTTCATGAAATACAACAGTGTGTGTATGTATATATATTTTAAGAGTTATTTAAAGCTATGGGTTAAAGCATCATTAAAATTTTGCTAGTCTATAAAATAAAATACCTTGTAATTATTTTTGAGTATCAGTTCTGCCTCGCAGTTCTTGTTACTGTGATCAATTTACAGTGAAGAATGAAAACATGTAGCTTATTTGATGAAAGACATCTGATCAGCTTCAAATATATTTTGAAAAGCCTGGAGTTTTGATTTTTAATCTTGCATTAATCACCATATCCCTTCTCTGCTGTGCCTTTAAACATATATGTACAATAATACTGTGACAGATGATGCCTCTGTCTTCCATAGCCTCAGAATTCACCGCAGCGTAGGGTAAGATGTACCTTCACAGTGGAGAGAAGAGATATTCTCAGGGTGTTTTTCCATTACAAAATACAGTCTCACCGATTTGTCTGCCATTTTGTGTTTCCTTCTCAGAGGGGGTGAACGTTTCCTCTTAACAGACTAGGGTGTGAATTACTGCTTTAGCTTTTGAAATGTGCAGTTGGGGACTAGAATTTGTTGTGCTGGAGAAGTGGATGCACAGTACCTTAACGAGGGTGGTGTCAGCAGGTCCCATGCAGTCCCCAAAGCAACCCAGAACCCTGATATAATTTAGCAAAGTGCACATATATCTGCACAGTTTGTCAGTCTAACAGGAAAATAATGTCTTTTAATAATTTACTCTTTCAAGGCAGTGGTTGAACAACAATTTTTATATATTGGCAACTTATAGGCTATAATAATGCCAACATGTTTCCTGACAGTGGCAGGATGCATAACGAAACCGAGTATAACAAAAATGCAAAAAAATTTTTTTTCTTTTTCCAGTAGTTGGGAAACAAGCCTGGAAAGCGTTAGGGAATGGCTCATACTTCTTTTTCAAGAATGTTTTTGTCAGGTCTTGAAGTGCAATCTGTACCAGATAACACTGATCCTTAGGGATTACTCATACATTTTACATGTATGAGAAAGCTATTAACATCTCCGTGACACAGCAAAGTATTAAGCATCCAGTGTGTTTCACGTGAAAAATATTGAAATCATGATGTTTAAAAATGTAAGTATTCATCAAACACTGCTATTTAAAAACAAACTCTAACATGTAAAATTGGAAAACATCACGTTCTATGTCAGCGTTTTTAACAACCGGCTCAAAAAACATAGCAGCACTGAAGGAAAAAAATACTTGTAGATTTAAAATTGTTCAGTTATCTACATAGTGTAGTAAAACACGTTGATTTGACCTTGTGCTGGTATTTCCATTCCAAATGACTTTGGATTTTAACTCATTAGAAAAATTGTGCAGCGGAATGAAATGAGATAATACCTGTTAGCATTTTGAAAAGGGTCAAAGTCCTTGACTATATGTTTGTTTTCAAGTTGTAATTTCCTTAATAATATCAGTTCTAATTCTTAATTTTTGATTAATACAAATCAATTAGTCATTTAAAATTATAATAAGTTTATACAATTATTTGGTGTGGAAGTGTGCTCTCCTCTAAGTATTAAACTCTCTGTGTTTGGTTAATTTTCCTACAAAAGCTAAAATCTGAAACTTCTTTGTAGATAGATAGTAAGTACACTACTACTACCTCATCTGGAAAAACAGATTTAAGATCACTTATATATTTCAACATTTTAGTTAGTTTCTGTTGTATTTCCTTTATCCCAGTGACTTTTGTATCACACAATAACAAATACATTCTGCAAAAAAAATTCTGAGATAAAATGGGTGAAAAAAAAATCACAGAAAAGCATGTATCCCCTAAGTAGATGCATCGAAACCAACAGTTCCTACTACTATCTTACATTTCTTTTGGTTTTTTACCTAATTTCTATAGATTGTTAACTATGCTTAGAATGGGCTGTGAATTTCTGAATAATTTCCAAATTCTATTGTTTTTTTAGTACAAAGCTTGTTTGTTTTCCTCAGTAAAACATGGCTTTGTTCAGTCAGAAAGTACATCCAGTCCTGCAGGACTATGCATGGTTTTTAAGTATTTCTGCTTAGGATCACCAGACACCATCAGCAGTTCCGCGTGAAATCTTTTCATCATGCACTGTGCATTACAAAGTATCCTGTGTGAGGAAAAGTCAGTTTTCATTAGCTGTGTGATTATAGTGAATGACAGCAGCAGAAATATTAGTTTGGCCTCAATGCATTTTAAATGCAGTTTTAGAAGTCTATTTCCAGAACAATGTTACTGAATTAATTGGGAAACAACTCATACTTCAAGAAGGTCTTGAAAGTTTGCAGATGTGGATCACTTATGTTTGTCAATTAAAATAAGGAAAGTCATAAGACTTTTAGTACACAAAGCCTTTGAAAAGAGATTCTAAAATTACAGCAATCTGAAGGGATTACTACAGGATGGAATGAGTTTGGTTGCAGAGTCTCCTATGTAGAGAATCTTAATGCAGAATTAACCTATGACATATCAGACATGCTACCCTTCAGCTGGTAATATATTTGACCTCTTATCCCATTGCAGCCTATTGGTGCTTTGAACCCAAAGAGAGCAGTCTTCTATGCAGAACGGTACGAGACGTGGGAAGATGATCAGACTCCACCTTATCATTACAACACCCACTACTCTACATCGACTTCTACATTGGCTTGGCTTGTTCGTATTGTAAGTATTTCTGGATCCTGGTTTTCATTAATATCTTTATCTACAGCATCTCTTCTGTCACTTACCACTATTTCGATTTTTTTTTAAAATGAAAGTACCTTTCTGTCAAAATCTTATTGTTCTTATCTGCCTTAAAATCTCAGGAATTCTCTAGGTATACTATGTATACTCATTTGTAATGAACAGAGGGTCCTTCCTACCCAAACAAGCTGAAATATATTTAGACACAAAATTGTGCTGGTGTAAGGACACATACGATGAAGAAAATCCATCTAAAAGTAAATCCATCTAAAAAAAAGTCTCTAGACAATACAGAAATCTGATACTACTCATACATTTGTTTATTATTTTCAGCTAGGGACAGATATAAACAACATTAAAGAAAAACCTTTCGTAAAAAGCAAATTAAACTGTGCCAAATTGAGAGGGGAATTATAGAACCAGTTTTATATTAAAGCAGTAGGGAGTAATATTTTATGCAAATGAACTGTGCTTCTCAAGGAATTAATAACTTACATTTTTCAGAAATGTAAAAACATAGATTCTAACTTCAAACTGCTATTTCAGTTCTGGAAACCTCATGCTTAAATTCTGTCCTCAAAATCAGATCTAGGGAAGGGGCCCAAACTTCAAGGATAGTATGAATCTGAATTCAGTTTACATCTTAACACAGTGAATTACAGAAAAAGGAGTGTTGATGAGAGACTTAAGGTTTCACAGGGAAACCTGAATTAATGAAAAATTGAGTCAGTATGTAATTACTGAACTAAAACTACACCCTGCCAATAAAAATCTGTGTATTCTAAGCATGTTTTGCACACAACCAAGCAAAGCAGAGCCGCGCAAAGCTTGACATCTGAGTTTATGCTCATCTCAGCTTCTGTTAGACATGTCCTGTTTTTCTGCTCAGAAGAGAAGAATTCATGTGTCTATGAGTTCAGGGTATACTTCTTCTTAACCCGTGGGAAACTAAACGTTGATTACACTCCTGTATGGGTGATCACTGTAGTCCTTTTAAATGTTGCTAAATTATTCATGTACTGTGAACACATTTTATGGTTCACATGTGCTTCTTTGTTGCCTTAAAGTATATTAAAAACAGTGGTTTTATTTGCATATTTTTCTATTAATTTTGGCTGCTGTTCAACAAAAGATCCCCTCTTGCTAGCCGGCAAATTCTTAGGTCTGAAAGTCTGCTTACAGGCTGAATGTACAACACACCAAGGAGTATTCATTTCCTGTATTAGGCTAATGCTGTGTCATTTTTACTACTGTTGTTTATGAAATACTATAGGTGTTCTTGCTCTCTTTCTCTCCTGCCCTAAAAGAGCAAGAGAACAAGGTCTCTGCCTTCACGGCCTTGCAATATAGACCTGACAAATTACATTTGTTACAGCAAACAATGTATGTGAGAATATAAAAGCAGAAAAGAAAAGGAAAAGCAGTGCTTTCCAGGGAAGAGATTACAGATGGCAAGAAGGTGAAAACAACAAAGGGAGAGTTTAAATACAGGACCACACCTAAACAGGTATTTTTAAGATTATTTAAATAGGAGTGACCAGCAAAGAAAAGCAATCACTAGTGGGAGGAGACAAGAGACATGTGAGGGAGATGGACGTGGGGAAAGTTTAAAGCTCAGAAAAGGGAAAAAGGAAATAAGGTAATGAGATAAGGTAAGGCTGCATATGGAAACCCAAAATAAAGATTTGAAAATAAGTGTGTATAGAGACAGGAAAAGATTATAGCTATGGGGATTATAAAGTCATAGTGATCCTTAGAGAGATTTTTTTGGCTACAAAATAAAGGATGAAAAATCCTAAGGGAGAAGATTATGCCAGTGAAGTTGATAGATAAGGCTAAGTCAGATTTCTGGAAGTTAAAGTAGAATTTCTTGCTCATTAATTTCTTGAGCTAGTGTTTGGGTATGTGTTTGTGAAGAAGACTGTGTAAGAACATTTTATAAAAGGTAAATTACAGTTTAGTCCAAGAAGAGGAAGGTGACAATAAGAGATGCAGAGATTCAGACAGAAAAATGCTTTCAGTATTTTAAGAGATTGGAGAAGACTCAAGGGAAGAGATGTGTTACAGTAGAGCTTTCGGTAGAAAGTGACAACTGAGAGTGAAAGAGAGGAGCGGAAAGTAAAATCATGGGAGAAGACTGTGTACACCAAAGAATAAAGAAAAGGGAAAGAAAAAAGAGAGAAATGGAGAGAAAACAAACATGCAAGCGAGCAAACAAAAAAGCTATCACAAAAAGTATACTGGGAATGAGATAGTCTAGATAGAAGCCGAACAAAACAGTACAGAGCAATGGGGGTCCAAGGGGAGAAACTGCCTGCCTAGACCTTTGTGTTGGAAGAAACAGTAGTTGCAGTAGGAAAGTAAGTTTGAGCTACTCTGAACTATGTATATGTAGAGTTGTGTAATTGCCACAAAACCTTAACATTTTTTTTGAATCTTGCTTTTTGACTTTGACAGATGCAATCTGGTTCCTGTCAGTTCTCTTCAAAACATTGCTTGTAATATCATATTTCTGAGTCAATTCTGTGATAATTTGCTCTCTACTGCTTTATATTTCCCTATGGTGCTTTCTTTTATCTGATGTATCAGGCTACTTTTATAAAAGGCAGTTTATGCCTTAGCCTCAGTTCTGTCCTGTTTATTGGATTTTGATATCATCAATCTCTGCCTCTGTTTTGTCATTAATAAATTTTTCACTGATAGTACAGTTTTCTCTTGCGTTCTTTTGTGTACTAAGTGTCCAGTAAAAATCCATCTTTAAAAGTGACCTATTTCATTATGTTTTCAAAAATACAACAGTGGCTTATGTTGAATCTGCTGATAATTACAGCAAATGTAATAATTTTATTATTAATTTTTATTCCTCTTCTGGCTTTCATTGTACTTAATAGAATAGGGTGTAATCCTTAACTGAAGCTATGAGCTACTAGCGCATCTGCAAAGCTTCTGTTTGTATTTTCTATGAGGTGGTTGTACAAGTCCAGGTATGCTCTGTTCTCTTCTGTAGGAATGCTAGGAGACAAATGAAGGCAGTTTTAGGATAAGGAATGGTTCAGCCTCACCAGGCCGTATATCTGATTCGTTATGGTCACTTTTAGGGGTTATACAGCTGACTCTGAAACTCTCCTAAAGCAAGATGCACCCTCTTTCTGTACAGCCCCCTTCTCCCACACGTACATGTGTGCATGCATACACTTATATGTGAATTGAAATTATAATTCTTAATTTACCTGTACATGTTTATTTAAACTAATCCATTGTACATTTCAGACCACTGCATCATGCTAGAATTCTGAAAGGTCAAGAAACATCCTCTAACCACCTTCGTAAGAAATGAACTGAGCCACAGCCTAGAAATATTTAATACTATAATTACAAATGAATCCTACATGATCTTCAGAAATGTTAGGTTTATATCCAAAATCAACTCTTTCTTGAAAGTGGTCAGCTTTCTTTCTAAGTTGAGGGGTAGATTAAAGATTAGATAGCTACAGAGACAGATAATGAATGTGAAAGTCTACTGTATTGTTCAGTCAGGTTAATAACGATGATAAAAATTAACAGAGAAGACCATGATTTATATAATATTGCCTTCCCCTCCTTTGAGGTGTTACTGAAATCAAACCATGGTTAAACATTTTTGGACATGACACTTCTTTAGATCTAAACCCGAGAAATTCTACTTATTCCATAAGAGCCAACATCACCCACAAGTTTGTTCCAGCAAACAGAATAAAAGATATTCTGGAAAGGGATGCACTGTTCTGTTGACACAGTTCCATTTTTGTATAAATGAAATTAAATATTCATAGTTTATGGCTAGGTGACCTTACCGCCTGGTTCAAGAGTAATTTTTTTCATGTGCTTTCTGTCAGAACCACTGAATATTTAAGTTGCAAAAGGCTGAATAGTTTAAACTAAGAATGCTACATCAGAGTGCTATATATACCAGTGACTTGAATGTCAACCTGAAACATAGACAGAAGAAAACAGAAAAGTAGACAGAAGAATGAATTCTGGCTTGAATCATGTATAATGTGACTATCAGCATTGTTTTCAGATTTTTAGGTGAAATAGGCTAGAGTTATGGTACAATTGGATGCTTTCAATAGTTGCTGTTGAAGAAGTGGTGTTTGTGTGAATCAGTTACATCTTCATTGAAACGGAGACCAGTATTAGAAAGCAGGATTCTCTAACGTGGTAGTCAAGAAGTTTGTAGAGAAAAATTGGTTTCCAGTTTCTGTTACAATGACTAAGTACTTGTACAAGGTAGAAGAAATTCTGGATTTGTTATGAGTCAGGTCTGATTAAACTGAAACCTGTTTTTAGTGAGATTCAAAGGTGAGGAGAACTTGAAAGCCTCTTGTAAACAGAAGTGAATCTGAGTTTCCTTTTTCGTAGATCTGAGCAGGACAGTCACGGATAGATCAACCAAAAAGTGTACGTCACTGACAAAATCCCGAATACTGTCTTTTTCTCCTCTTACAAATGGCTGAAAAGACGGTTTTGTTTGACATGACATGTCTTAGAATGACACAACCCTTCCTTCTCCCTCCCCTACTCCCACAACAAATGAATCAAATGGGCCTAGGCACTGCTAAAAGGGGATGGAGGGAGAGAAGTGCTGTCGAATGGAAAATTTACTTGTTCCCACCGCTTGTATTCATCGTAATCAAGTACCCCACGAATTTCTCTTCTTGTTGGCAGTGAACAAGGCGTGAATTTTATTCAGAATATTAGGGATGAGATGAGATGGGGTTATAATGAAAACATTGTGCAGCTTTATAGCTCTCACAGCAACAAAACCTTTACATGAAATGACAGTAATCGGTATCATAGAGTAACAGTATTTAAATGAGTATATTGAATACAGATATGAATTGTATTTATATAATATAAGCACTTGGACTTTCCAGAGAATAAAAATTACCTTAAAATTATGTGAAAGGTCTGAGATAAAGCAAGTGAAAGCTCTGAATTTCTGCTAAGGATTAAAAATCCAAAAAGATAGGCAAAACAGGTCATAGCAGGATAGCATAATAGGGCACCCTGTAGTGCTCAGCTATTAAAAGTTTAATCCTTGATTATGAATTTTATCGCTTTTGTATATTTGTCTCAGATGCTTAAAATAATGTTGTCATGGAATTTTGGATTAATATTTTTACATAATTTATTGTAATGACATCATTTTTCTGTTTTCTGCTTTTTAAATCCATCAACTGCTTCTGATTTCAGAACCTCAGCAATGACCCACGGTCTGCTCCACAATGATATGCACAACAAATTACATGTATCTTATAAAAAAAAAAAGTGATAGATAAGGGTTGGTAGAAGACAGAATTATTTCTGCTCAGATCAACAACATACAAAGTTTTGTGGTATGGGTAAGCTAGAAAAATAGCATAATTTGCAAAGATTGCTATTGCAAATATATACAGAGATTTGGGGGAGGAATTCAGTTAAAACAAAAATAATTCTAATCATAAAAGAATTTATGTAAATTTAATGTTAAACATTATAATATTAATAGAATTTTAGGATAAATTAATATAATTCAATTCCTGCATATATTGTTTTCTGTTTGCTAGCTCTGGATCTGAATCATACACTTTTTCATTTATGTTTTATGTGAAGTTCACTATATGTGGCACTGTAAAATCTGGACACATAAAAACTTAATTTCTTTTCTTTCAGTATTTCTGTTCATTGTGATACTTTTATGCTGCTCACCAAGTTGAGCTACTGTTAAATTTTAATATTCACTTTGCATTATAACCCTCTTCCTCACTTGCCACACTTTTTCAATATTCATGACTGCAAAGTCATTCTGCAATAGGAGTTAGGGTCCTCCAAAAAGAAATGATACTGTGATGATTTTGTATTTAATTTAATTATTTCTAATTAATTATTTGACACATATTAGGATTCTCTGATGGGAATAAATGCACTGATGAAAGTATATTTCTTAGATTGTTACCCGTTCTTTTGAATGTATCTTTTTAAAATAAATCCCCAATGTTTTAAGAGAAAAAAAAAAAAAATGGAAAAAATCCTCACCGTTCAATTAGCTGTAGAATGTCTTGCATTATTGTGATGAAAACAATTCCATATTTGCACCGGCAGACACTGAAAGTTAAAATACTGTCCCTGGCTAAAACAAAACAAAACAAAAAATCTTTGTTTGGGTATAAACAATTCCCTTAAGCCCAAGGTGCTGGCATACTATGAAGACAATAAGAGAGATATCCCATTCCTTCTCATTTAGAGATAGAAATGTAGAGTTTTTCTCGTCTTTGAAAGAAAGTAGCCTGTGTCGACTGTTGTGTATGATAGAAAAGAGTAATTAGGAAGACATGTGGAGTGAAGATTAGAGAAAAAATGGTCTCTGGAAGTCTGATTTCCTTCTTTTATTTTCCTCCTCTTTTGGGATTCTTTCACTACCTTTGCATCCATGCTTTCCTTATTTATATTTTAATTGCTCTCAGGTGCTACAGAAGATGAATTACTTCACTCTTTAATCTTGTATAATTTAAACACAACATGTATAATGTGATGTAATTCCCTCAAAATTTCTTTCTTAATGGAGGAGATCCCTGCTTTGTTCAATAGCTTCAGAAACGGAAACAATATAGAATAAAATTCAAATAGTGGATGTGTAATACTGTAATAAGAATTATGATCTGGTGATTATGAACTACTTTGATTAACAAAATTTCCAAATGGTCAGGACATGCGAGGAAATCAATTTGGGTGTGAATTTAACAAAAGGGACACTTTTTCAAACATTCCCCCATCGGACTTTGGCAAAGAGGAGCAAGTAGTTTCCATCCATGTGGACATTTTGCCAAATACTAGTTGAATCAGAAAGCTAACGGAGTGGTGCTGGAAAACCAGGGAGTTGGCAATGATCTCGGTGTTCAGGTTCTGCTGTCACATTAAGGATTTGGTCCCCTGTTAACTCCTTCCCTGCAGTGGAATGCAGTGATACAAAAATGAGTTCTCCAGACTGTCTGACTTAAGCTCTTCTTACTCAAAAGTTAATAGCTGTCTCCATTTAGTAAATATTGGGATTGTGTTTTCAGATAGAATTAGAAAAAGTAAAAACTCCTAAATATTTTGTCTCTCTACCTCTGCCCCAGAGTAATGATAAAGCTAGATACCCTGTAACCATAATCTGCCTCATAATGACCACAGAGCCATTCTGCCCACTGTGAGGCAAAGTGGAACCTACTGAGGTCTTTTAAATTAAACGAAAACAAAAGGAAAATCCAGGCAGAGGGTTTTGTAAGATTTTATTTTGGCATACCATTTTATAAGAGGTAAACAAAGCATGGTAGTATAAATAACACAGAGGGTGTTTATGATGGTTGCAGTGAAGTAGGCAGCCATTGTGCACTGGAACTAAGCTACATAGGTCTGCCACAGATGCGTAATTAGTCTTATGGAAGAGTGAATATATAAAATAACCTTTCCTGCCAGAACTCAAGATTTATGTGTGCAAAATGTATTCGTGCAATAAATGTACTAAGATATTCAGTAGAAATACCCATGCATAGATATAACTATGAGGTGCCATATTTTTCTTTAATTCTGCCTTTATGAAATATTTTGATCTGCAAAAGTAATTTGGATTTTGTTAGAAACCTGCTGCATGATTCCTTCTGCTGTTTTCTTAATCCATCTTCATTTCATTGACTACAGGAGCCCTTTACAACGTTCTTTCTAAATGCAAATGATGGCAAGTTTGACCACCCAGATCGAACCTTCTCTTCAGTAGCCAGGTCTTGGAGGAACAGCCAAAGAGATACCTCAGATGTGAAGGTGATATATATATTAAATGAATTGATAAATGTGCATTTTCATTTATTGTATTTTGGTTTATGTAGGGACAAAGAGGGGTTTATATTTCATATCTTTATATTCAGTACACTAGGTATAGTTTAAATAAAAGGTAAGTGTTACTAAAGATTATTGTTCTAACAGAAACAATCAAAGATTCTTTGAAGTTCAGTGGACAAAAGGTGTTTTGTTTTTAGAGAAAAACAACCTAACTGATCTAATTTAGATCAGATAATCAGGAGATGGAGAAAAGCCCAATAAATTGTTCTTTCCTGCTGTTAACTCAATATTTGGCCCACTCCATAAAACACAGCAGGATTTTTTTGACCTTAAAGTGTCATATTGTTATAGCTTGCCTAGCTCTGGGTTTGCATTGCCTGGGGCAATTAATAAAGCATTAATGACAAGACCCATTTAAAATGTTGGCTTTTCTGTACAGCTTTAGCTTTTACTTGAATGTGCCTGGGGATATTATGCAACAATACACATTAGATTAAAACAACTTCTACACGATATACAGAAACAGCCGGAGAGCGGGTGATTTTACTGTTGTTATTCCTTACCTATTGTTAAATACAAAAGGTTATTGTTCATATACATGAGACCTTATCAGAAAGAAACCAAAACCTGATAGTATTTTGAATAATGTGGTCCTTTCTTAATTCTCATTTTCCAGTAATAATGTAAGCAAAGGCTCCACTATACAATTAATTGCGCTTTTTTTTTTTTTTTAATAAACTTTATTTTAAGTGAATATATCTCTCTTCTGTTTTGATACTGTGACTCATACTAGGAAATGCTAAAGTCAAGGTCACATTAGCATTATATTTTTTACTTAACTTGACAAAAGAAGAAGATGTAAATTTGTTGATTTGTTTTTGTCCCAGAGCTCCTGTTTGCAGAAATATTCCAGCAGTCTCAGAAGTGTATGTGGACAAACCATGTTGTTGTTATTCAGTTACTAGTTAAAATAACAGATTGTAAATTGTATGGCCGTCTTAACATAAAGGAGAAAATGCTTTTTAAAGAAAAGAAATTAACCTAAACCTCTTAAAACCCATTTCATGTTTATTTATGCTCCTCTGGATAGCATTTTAAGTATTATCACAGTTACCTTTGTAAGAAAAACAAAGGAAATTTCAGAACTTGGAAGGAATTTGAGTTAATATCTACTATATTTGAAATGTAGCCATTTCTTCAAATCCCAAGTGCTGACATTTTGATTTTTCCCTTTCAATGGAATCTGGTTTTCCTGGAATTCCACCAGAATATCTAGGAAAATAGCTTCCTAGGAGTGGGGCGGAAAAAAAAGAGAAGAGCCTTAAACTGAGGAATAAGGGAAGACAGTTGGAAGTGACTGTAATCTTCTTGTCTGGCTTTAGTACACAGGAGGAGGGCAGTTAAAGACATGAAGGCATTGCAAAAGATAAAGAAATATCTGTGGACAGACGGAGGAATGGTATTCAACTAGGGTATATAATTAGTGAAAGGATTGTTCCTAAACGAGCAACCCAAGGAGTTATCAGTAAAACAAAGAACCGAAATGTTTGTTTGAAAATACCAGGAGTCTTGTGAACCAAGTGGGGTAATTTAACCTGCTGCTGCCAGCTATTGCAAGAATGCGGAAATTATGGAGGGAGAACAGTTGCATTACAAAATGTATTTGTATTAAAAAAACCCAAGTTATTAAAATAAAACAAGTATTAAAAAGATGCTCAAAACCAGATACACACCTCCAGAAAAGAAAGACAAAAGGTGAAGATGTGGGGTAGCTATGTACTTTAATGGCACTGAATATGAAAAAGGGAGTTGGGGTTAACTTGGGTAAAATAGGAACAATTAAGAGTCAGAGTTGCACTGGGGGAAATACTCTAAAATAATGTATTCTAGAATACATTTGGAAGTCTGCCGTAGAACCACAGAGTCAGATTTAGACATATATAAATTTCTGTTATGCCATTAGAAAAAGAAATACTACTCAGAGCTAAGTCATTACAGAAAATCTAATATGGGAGGCACAGATGAGGTATGTTAGCCAATAAATGTTTTCTCCGGATAATCCCCGACCTGTCTGTTCAGGGATACTTTAGGGATTAAAGATGCTGTTTAAAATGTGGTTTTGTTAATTAATGAAGATACAGGGAAGGTGGCTTTAGAAATTAACCTTGAATTGATTTATTATGAGTTGATTTAGCTTAAGATAAAAATAGATAAACAAAAGCAGAATCAAAAATAAGCTGAATCTTTAAAGGATGCTAAAGCAAACAGAAAAAGTTCATAAGCTATCTAAATAAAAAACAGCAGTTAAACAAAGGTAGAAATGAGAGGCGATTTTTTAATGTGTTTAATACCAGCATTTAATGTATTGCACCATGAAATTAATTTATTGTATATTAATACAAAGCCAGTACTGGAATAAGTCTACTGAAGTACCCTTCAGTACCCTAAGCAATGTATGTCAATGCATTGCTGTTTCGTGTTCAGCTTGACAAGGAAACTTGAAGATCAGCAGGATGGCAGAAAGCTTATAGTGAGAAGCTATATCCTTAGCGTTATAGCAACTAGGATATCTCATGGCATCTAAATTCCACCAGAAACAGTCTGATTAGTCGTTCATTTGTTTCAGAGTTCCTATGTTCTTGGGGAACACTAGTTTTTGCTTTTTCCTCATTCAATTTTTAGTATGTATTCATGCTGGATAAGGCAAATTGTTAGTGCTTTCTTTGCTGAGAACTCGCTGGCGGAAATATGTACCTGAACTGAAGGGACCCATAAGAAGAGCAGCAGATGTGTTTAAGGAGTTGGACACAGAAAGAAAAATGTGTGTATGTGTGGGGTAATTAATGTCTAAAAGTGAAGACATAGTAACATAAATGCTATGAAATATGCAAACATTTGAGAGGGAGAAGAATTGTTTGTCAGGGAGCAAAGAGGTAAACCTCAGAGGAAAGGGATCAGAATCGAAAAATGCTTACTTAACCAATAGAGTATGAAAAGTTAAAGTGAATTTGCATATCCTCACAAGAGGAAGTAATAAACCCCTTATTTCTCGAGCTTCTTAGAAACGTAGACACTGGAAAAGCATCAGGAACAATCATGAATTGGCAAGAGGATGTGCTAGTTGACCCTTTAGGCCCTTTCCATTTGTAGAGTCTGTGTTTCTTAGCGATAAATCAAGAATGAGTATAGCAGCTAATTGTTGCTGTTGTTTGTTGCTTAAGATCTTAATGAACTGCATTTCTCAATGCCATGACATCAGGGCCAGCTTTTCCTTGAGGCCTTGGAGTTCATTCTGCAAAAGGATGGGAAACTGAACTATTATTAATACTACAAATACCCCATTTTTTCAGATTAGTTGTGCTACTGCTTGGAATGTCTTACAGGCTTTTTAAGCATTTTAATCAAGTTTTCAGGGACTGCAAAAGCAGTGAGATTTGGGGAACCACCAAGAAACCCCCTCAAAATCTCTACCCATGTTGGCCACTCTCCTAAGAGCAGCAACCACTCTCTTGCACAGCAAAAGACCTTCAGCTCTGAGAGTGTAAAACATCCAAAAATTCATGTTCAGCTGTCTGGCAGCTTCTAATATTTATCTAGCGGTCCTGCGAGAAAGTAGCGTACAAAAGAGAAAATGTGTAGAGGTTGCATGCGAGGACAAAAATCCTAAAGCATGTTCTCTGTGCACAGCAAAAGACCTTCAGCTCTGAGAGTGTAAAACATCCAAAAATTCATGTTCAGCTGTCTGGCAACTTCTAATATTTATCTAGTGGTCCTGCGAGAAAGTAGATACTGTACAAAAGAGAAAATGTATAGAGGTTGCATGCGAGGACAAAATCCTAAAGCGTGTTCTCTGTCAAAGTGTTCTGCATATTTGTGTAGCTTCTTCTGGCTACACACACAGTTATAAATGAGGGTCTTTGGCAGTGTGGATTCCCACATGATATACACGCTGTAAATTGTTTTCCCACCCTAAAGATTTTGTGAGTCTTTATAGTAAATGTTAGGTGTGTGGAATACGGGCTATCCATCAAAGCAGCAAACTTTGAAAGCTGTTAAGAATAGCAAGTGTTCATTATTCATGTATTCCTTATCATATATTTGAAATTCATCTGAGCTGCTTTAAGTACATTTAATCTCTGATCTCACTAATCTCATTAATTACTGTGGCACAGGTTATGAAATAATTTAAAAACAGCGTACGTAATGAATTAGTCTGACATTCTTCAATACTGTGTATTATAAGATGGTCACAATTTTTGCTTTCAAGTACCATATGAAATAATTATATGAAATGCCTTAATTCTTTATTAGCAAGGTCTAATTAAAAAAATCCCTTTAAAATTAATTTTTTTAGGAAAACAAAATCTGAATTATTATTTATTTTCATCAGTCATTGTTTAAAAAAAAGGACTATGGGGTGCTTTATTCTTAAGTGCTTAAGTAACTTCAGAAGTAGGTCAGTTTTAACTGGTAAATTGAGATTTTTAAACAATGCAGACACTTCGCACAATAATGTTGTTTTGCATCCTCAAGGTAGTTTTAAAAGAAACATCCAAACCACTTTTAAGAAATTCTGCATTAAAATTTAAAACCCAAATAGCTAATATTTGCAAAAGAATGTATATCTCTTTAGGAAGCTGCAGTTCCGTGAGTCAATCTCCTTTTTTCACAGGCATGTGTCCTCTCTGGCATTCTCTCTCTCTGTTTCTTCCTATGACCCTTTCCCCTCCCTCCTTCCCTCTCTCCCTTTGCGTCTGTGTAGTCTTCTCTGGAACTCCATTGTTTCGCACGGAGTTAATGAAAATAGGGCTGTGGCGGTAGTTTGATCGGTCTGAAAAACAAGCTGTAATTGCTACATCTTGAATTGTGGCAAAAGGTACATCACGTTTGAAGAATGTAACTTATGATGGCTTATTGCTCAATAGATGATTAAAGATCTACTTAGACAATTCTGTTCCTTACGTTTGGGCTGGTTTAGTTCA